CCCTCATTTAAGCGCTGGAAACCATGCCAGTCTTCGCGTTTTCCTCTATTACCCTTCGACTTTTATGGAAGATATGGGGAATTGCGGATCTTATTTGGGAGTCTTCGTAGGGTGGAAGTCACGTTTCGAACCTGCGATGAAGCGATGGAAGGAAGGATGTATGGAGGGAAGGAAGGAAGGAAGGAAGGAAGTAAGTAAGGAAGGAAGGAAGGAAGGAAGGAAGGAAGGATCCTAAACCAAATAGCATTGTTGACAGAAAGGAAATGCTGATTTCACCAACATTCTCTTAAAAGAAGAACAAGGAAAGCTTTTCTAAACAGGAGTGGCGGGCCCTGGCTTGGTAGCTCCATTGGTTGGAGCATTGTCCCCATACACCACGGTTGGGGGTTTGGTCCCAGATCAGGATACATACCAATGAATATCAACCAACAAGTTCATAAGTAAATGGAACAACAAATCAGTGTTCCTCTCTCTCTCTCTCTCTCTCTCTCTCTCTCTCTCTCAAAAAAAAATTTTTTTTTCAATAAATTAAAATAAATAATAAACAAACAAACATGGGTGTCGGCACTAGGAAGGGTCCTCAGCACCTGGCCCTAAGGGCAATCACAAGCTCATTTGGGCTCTGAACGGGAGATAGGGTGGGTGGCTTTTTGCACTCATAGAGTGGAGAGCCCAGCCTTGGTCAGCTTGTCTCAACAGCAGCCTCCATTCAGGGGCCAGCCCCACACGACCCCTCACAGTCATGGGTAGGTCACTCTGGTTGGGGATCATCAGTGAAGGTGGCTCCTTCCCAGGAAGGAGGAGGAGGAAGAGCATCCCAGACTCAGAGAAGCCCCTCCTGACTCCCACCATGGGGTCCGGTTCACCTGGTCCCAAACAGGCTGTCCCAGGCCCCTGGCCCCAGGTCCCAGGTCTACAGGTTCTAAGTGTGTGGAGAACAATTTGAACATGTAGAATGCAGTCCTTTCTCCTTACAGTTTGGAAATTATCACTCTTTTTCATTTGGGGGGTGTACTCTCTCTTATATGTGTCATTCCTTTGAGTTGTTTCCCTGGCAACAAAGGAGGAAGAATGAAAAGGCTGCTAAAAAGAAGGTACAAGCTGTTTGTTTTCTTTTCACGACCACAGGGGGCTGGGGGCAGTCACGACTCCTCCATTCTATAAATTACTCACACAGAGGCCTCTAGTTTCTCCCAGTTTTGTTTAATAGAGAGGGAAGGGGATGGACCAGGTCTCCACTGGCACTGAGCGAGGCAAGAACAGTTCTTCTTCAGGGGCAGGGCTATCTTCCTGGCCAACGGCTCAGCCACGACCAGTCTTGGAATCCCTGAACACCTCAGGATGGCAGCACTGGCCACAAGGCAATGACCAGCTCAGATGTGCTGGCCTCTAGGCTCCTGGGTCCGAGAGGAAGGGGGGTCTTCTGCCACCCGGAGTGTGCCCGTGAGCACCTTCCGGATCCTCTGCATCCCTGGGAAGGGGTAGTGAGGGCCCCGTCAGCACTGATGGCTGGGTGGGCGGGGAGGAATAGCTGAGGCTGCTGGGTCACACGTGGGGCCAGAAGGAGGCAGGAAGGATACAGTTAGGAGGGGGGCTGAAAGGGCAGACCGCTCACCCAGGCGAAGCCGGTGGGCCTTGTCCGAGAAGACCAGGCGGAACCACCCGGGCTCCTTACACTCGAAGGCCTTGCCGAAGGACAGCAGCACCTTGTTGTCCAAAAAGCGACGCCACAGCAGCCTTTCCTCCTCAAAGGTGGCCTTGGGCAGGTACTGGGAGGATGGAGGGGCTCAGGATGTGGAGGAGACATCCCCGCTCCTCACCTGCTGGAGGGAGGCTTAAGTCCCCTCCCCACCTGCACTACCTTCCTCAGGTCGACCCAGATGAAGAAGCCCGCGCCCCGGCTCAGGAAGGGGATCCCCAGGGCCCTGAGCTCTCCGGAGACATAGGTGTGAGCAGCCTTGAGCCGGGCATGGTTCTCGGGCAGGTACACCTGGTTGATCCAGTCTGTTTGGGTGAAAGAGAAGCCGAAAGGTAAATCCCCCATTGACCCTCCACTCTGTCCCATGAGGCTAAAATGCTGAAAAGAAAAGGTCACCAGCAGCCAAGGCTGGGTGAGCCCCTCCTCTAACTGGTTGATGAGGGGAGATGGGAATATTCAGTTTTGAGGGTAAAGCACCTTAAATCAGGACACTTGGCCCTGACAATGCCAGGTCCCGCTGACAGAGTCCTTCAAGATACAGACCCTAATCAAAGGGTGAACCCCAAAGAGTGATGCCTCCCAGTCACACCAGCTGAGGTTCAACTCCAGCATGGCCTCTGACAAGGTGTGGGCGAGTTCCCCTCCCTGATCCTCATTTTTTTTGGTATCCCATTCCGTGAATTGTAACACACGTATAGATTTTAATAACCACCCCCACGGACAGGATACCGAGCAGTTCCCTCACCCCAAAGATCACCCCAGTGCTACCTTTATAGTCCCATCATCCCCTTCCCCACAAACACTGCTCTGTTCTCTGTCACTTTTCCAGGATGTCATAGCAGTGGAGTCACACAGTCGTGTCATCTTTCGAGACTGGCTTCTTGCGCTCAGTCTACTGCCTTTGAGATTAAGCCGCACTGTCGTGGGTTTTATGGCAGAGTAAGGCCCTGCTGTGTGGACGGCCACTGTGTGCTCCTCCACTATCCCGCGGAAGGCATTGGGGTTGTCTCCAGTTTAGGAGACGATGAAGAGATCAGCTATAAACATTCACGCAGAGCTTTTGGCGGGACCATGAGGGGAAATACCTAGGAATGGGATTGCTGGGCCATTTGGTATTTAACTTTAAAAGCAACTGCCAGCCCTGGCCGGCTTGGCTCAGTGGATAGAGCGTCAGCCTGCGACTGAGGGGTCCCAGGTTCAATTCCAGCCAAGGGCACATGCCTGGGTTGCGGGCTCGATCCCCAGTGGGGGGTGTGCAGGAAGCAGCCGATCAATGATTCTCTCTCATCATTGATGTTTCTATCTCTCTCTCCCTCTCCCTTCCTCTCTGAAATCAATAAAGAAATATATATTAAAAAAACAACAACAACAACAACTGCCAATTGGTTTCCCAAGTGGCCGCCCCATCTTACATTCCCCCCGGCGCTGCAGGAGCATTCCAGCTGTCTGTGTCCTCACCAACACTGACGCTGCCACTATTTTTAAATTTTAGCTATTATAGCAGTGTGCAGTATCTGGTCCTCATTTTCCTCATCTATAAAATAGTGGGGAAAATACAGGAATACCTGCCTCCTAGGATTCTGGGAGAGACAACGGAGATGATGGATTGAGAACATCTAGTTGGGCTCAATACCTGGGGGCAATTACAGGTCCCTTTACCACCTAAACTCACTATCTGAGCCTGGGAACAGAACAGACCCCTGTAGAGACAGAGAGAGACTTCCATTGTAACATTTTTCCATTAGTAGCTTCTGCTCTTTTCTAAGTGCTCACAGCTAATAATAATGAGTTTACATTGACCAAATGCCTAGTATATGCCAGCTACTATTCTAACGGAATGAAAAATCACTTTAGCCCTACAAGATGGGTACCATTATGATCCCTGTTTTACAGATGAGGAAACTGAGGCTCGAGGAGGTGAAGGACTGTGCCTCCCAGCCAGGAAGTGACTGAGTAGGGTATGAACCCAGCCTGGGCCCCCAGCCGGTACTCTCAAACACCACCCTAAATCCTTCTCATGCACGAAGCATCCATGATCCCTGGCCAGTCCCAGACCTACTACAACCCTCCCTCCCTTCTCAGGTGGCCAGGCCCAGGCAGTCACCGCGGTCCTGGAGCAGCTGTGCCACCTGGTGCTGGACCAAGCCACTGAGGCCATGGTAGCGGCAGAGGGAAGCCACGGCCGTGGCCACGTCCCGATTCTCTGTGTACAGCGTGCCAAAGCGGAGCCCGGACATCCCGAAGTCCTGCAGGAGAAAGACACCCTAGGCCAGCGGTTCTCAACCTGTGGGTCGCAACTCCTTTGGGGGTCGAACGACCCTTTCACAGGGGTCGCCTAAGACGATCCTGCATATCAGATATTTACATTACGATTCATAACAGTAGCAACATTACAGTTATGAAGTAACAACGAAAATAATTTTATGGTTGGGTCACAACATGAGGAACTGTATTTAAAGGGCCAGAAGGTTGGGAATCACTGCCTTAGGCGGTAGCCCGCCCTCCACAGAGAAAGCCGGTTCTACCCACCTCTCCGCCTTCCCACCTCCCTGACACCCCAAGGCCAGCCAGGGACCCACCTTGCTGGTGGCCCACATCACATGGGTCCTCTGAGGGTCAGGCAGCCTGCAGAGAGCACAGTGTGGGGATGGAGGCAACACAGACCTGCGGGAGCTCACATGTGCGGTTGAACACAGAAGGAGATGGATGGATGAATCTGGTTCTGGGTCCAGCCCTGGTCTCTTGAATCACCAACTCCCACGCATCCTTTAGAGTGGGGGTCAGCAAACTACAGCCTGCAGGCCACATCCGGCCTGCTGCCTGTTTTCACAAATAGTTTTATTGGGAAAGAGCCGTACTCTTTCATGGATGTACCGTCTACGCTGCTTTGGCGCCTTAATGGCAGAGTTGAATGAGTAACCACATGGCCTGTAAAGCCTGAAATAGCCATTTGATCTCAAAGTGCTTGCCAACACCTAATCTAGAGCATAGCTCAAGCGTCACTTCCTCAAACAGACCTCCTCTGACCACCTCCCAGTAGACCTGGCCAAGTGGGTAGCCCGGGCGATCCTCCCGGGACTGCCAGGCTTCTCCATTTTAGCACTTAATCAAATGACTAGCCGTGTATTTAGCTGCTGAAATGTTGTTTTCTGGCTAGAAATAAAAGTTCTACGTAGAAAGGGCCCATGTCTCTCTTGTTCGCTGTTGCATCCCCAGTGCCTCGCTTTTCCTGTGTCTCACTTTTCTAATCCCTACCTGAAGCCCATGCTCCATGCACGTGGCAGAGCTGTGGGAGAATGGGCTGAGAGAAGGGACGTAGCAAGGTCTGAACAGAGATCAGAAACTGTTAGATTCTCTGAACGGCAGATTTACAGACTTTACAGATGATCTGGTCCAAGTGTTTCCAAAGGTATTTTGGCCACAAATTCTGGGCTTAAACTAAATTTAATGAAAAAGTCCAAATACCCAGAAGTGCACGGCATATGCAAGGGGCTCCAGAGTATTGGCTGAATGAATGAATGAATGAATCTGGAGCTACTTTGCGGATGAAGGAAACAGCAAAGGCCAATTTTCCACCCACCCAGCCCTCCCTTAGGACTCCTAAGGCCCCCCCTTGGAGCTCTCAGAAACCCCACAGAATAATCTGAAAACCACGGATCTGGCCCAGTCCTCCCCTGTTCTCATTAGGGCTCTGAGGACAATGAGATCAGCTGGATGGAGAAGGAATCGCCAGGGGCAGGCCATGCCCTGGGGCTGAGCCACAGAGGGGCCAGGGCAGGGGGCGGGATGGGGGACATGGGGAGAGCAGTCAGCTCTGCTATGGCAGCCTCACCTTTCCAGGCTCAGGACACTGCGGTAACCAAGTGACTCCTCGAACACGGACAGCATGTAGACCTCATCCACCACCACGTGTAGCTCATGCCTGGAGCCGGAGGTTGGGGGGGCGGGGAGGCAAAGGAGAAAGAAGTTGGTTTATGGATTCAATGCATCCCCCAGGGCGGGGTGGCAGTGACCCAGAAATCCAGAGGGACGGGATCCAGCCCAGGGTTCCCAAACTTGTTTCATCCAGGAACACCCTGCTGTTGACTATATTTTTCAAACACACAGGAAGCCACATACACAAGCAGATGACATGTAGCTTTTGAAGCCCTGTGGGGCAGAGGCGGAGCCCTCGGGCACCCCCACGGAGGAAGGGCACAGTTAAGTTCAAGACAGTTAAATACAAACAGACCTAGATTCAGACTGACTCCCCCCACCCCCATAGACTCAGTAAACAGGGTAATAACAGTACCTGTACCTAACAGGGTTATTGGGAGGATTGGGTGAGATAGAGTACAGGAAGTGCTTAGCAGGGTGTCTGGCCCCAAGAGTCTGTAGTAAATGATAGTTGTTACAAAGCGGGAGAGAAAGAACTAGCATCCCACTACCCGCTGCCTCCCACCCCACTGCCAGGAAAGCCAAAGCACATGGAAGCCACAGTGAAGAAAAGAGATTGTAAAGGACCTGCCCCAAAGCCTTCGCCAGGACCCACATCTGCCAGATGCTTTGTAGGGTGAGTGTGGGGTGCCTCACCTCTTGGCAAACTCCAGGTACTGCCGCAGCTCTCCCGGGGAGTAGATGTCACCCAGAGGGTTCTGGGGGTTGATGAGGATGAGGCCTTTGACCTTCACACCCTGAAACCACCAGGGGGCAGGACACCATCAGTTCCTCCCAAAGGCCAGAGCCACAGGGACCCCCGGGGCGGGGCTGGTCGCTGGGCAGGCCCCCAGGGAAATGTGATGGGACCCTGTTCACCACCCAACTGGAAGCCAACAAGGGCAGAGAACTACATCTGCAGCATCGGGTCCGCTATGAAAGAAAATATGCAGAGAACACAGCCTAGAGCAGTGGTTCTCAACCTTCTGGCCCTTTAAATACAGTTCCTCATGTTGTGACCCCCAACCATAAAATTATTTTCGTTGCTACTTCATAACTGTAATGTTGCTACTGTTATGAATCGTAATGTAAATATCTGATATGCAGGATGGTCTTAGGCGACCCCTGTGAAAGGGTCGTTCGACCGCCAAAGGGGTCGCGACCCACAGGTTGAGAACCGCTGGCCTAGAGGGAAATATGCCCACACGGCCAGCAGGGGTTGCCTTTGTTGGTAGAATGATGGGAGGGGGTTGCACTTTTAAAATTCCCTCAGTGGGCACGGACAGCTTTCACTACTACAGTAAAAAAGGATAAGTTGACGGATTGTTGAAAAGTGGGCTGAAAAGGAACCGCTGGAGGATCCCTGCTCTCTGCCTCTCTCCAGGAGGCCTCAGATCCCCCACAGAGGGAGGACCACCTCCTCGAATGGCCAGGGAGGCTGCTGAGCTTCAGACTGACCTGCTGAACCGGAATCAGGCGACGTGGGGTAATATTTTTAACCAAGTTCCCTGTTGATGATTTGTGCACTGAGGTCTCAGTCTTCCTCTGGGGCGGGGGTGAGGAACCTTTTTACTGCCAAGGGCCATTTGGATATTGATAACATCATTCACAGGCCACACAAAATTATCAACTTAAAAATTAGCCTGCAATATTTGGTCAAACATTTCATTAACTCACCCCTAATGCCTTGGCAGGGCCAGACCAAATGATTTCACTGGCCTTAGACGGCCCTCGGGCCTGCCTTTCCTCACCCCTGCTCTAGGGGGAAGACTCTCCATGGGCAGCTCCTGCTTGGCCCCTAGAATGGTTCGGTGCCTACCCCCATCTCATCACGAAGTGCCACCCCTACTTGGAGTAGACCAGCCACAGGAAGCTCAGACCCACCCACTCCGAGCCTTGGTTTGATTTGACTCCAGACCTCAGCATTAGCTCCTTGCAGGGCCACCTCCAGCTTCTCCACTGTGAGCTGGAAGGGGCGTGTGTCCAGTCCAGTGACCTGGAAAAAGATCCACAGCCAAATTCAGTGACCCCCTCCTCAAACCCATGAACTCCGGGGGCCTCTCCTGCCCGTCATCTCCAGCCTCCTTAGAATAGTCTCTGGAAAAATGCAGGTGGGGTCACTCCCCTCTCACTGCCACCCGCCCCCACTCCACCGCCACATCGGGGACATCCTCATCACTATTAGGTTTCAGGGAGAGGCCCAAAGGTCCTCAGATTGGGGTCCAAGGATTTCCATGTTGAGGTCTGCTCTGCCCCATCCTCACCCCACCACTTTGGTGTGGTCGCCTGGGATTGCCCTTGGCCTCTACATCAATCCCAGGGATCTCAGAGCTGGGAGAATGGGGGGCCCCGGGGAACCCAGGCACTGGCCATGGGCAACAGAAGCCTCTACTCCCCTTTCAGCCATAGCCCCCGAGCCCTCAGCATGGACTTTCTCCCATGTCCACCCTCAGATTCAGATGCAGGAAAGCCTTGGCCTGCAGGAACCCCTACCTGGGGTTCTAGGAACTCTTACCTCACTGTCCAGATAGACATAGACCAGTCGGACGTTGCCATAGAGATAGACGTGCTGTGTGATGGCTCCATAGTAAGGGGCAGGGATCAGGAAAGCCTCTGGGGGCAGGAGTGGGCCAGGGCTCGTCACCCTCTGGCTGGAGCTCATGGACCCCCTGTCCATTCACCCCAGCCTCTCTAAGCCTGCAGTGATCTTGGAGAACATTCGGGGCGAACTCCCTCTCTCAACTCCCAAAACTCTTTCTAGAGCTGGGCTCCACTGAGATCAGTTCCTCATCTAAAAATCAGGAGCTAATATTTATTGAGCACTTACTATGTGCTGGGAAGTGTGCTAAACATTTATTTGCATTGCATCTCCTTAGATCCTCATAGTCACTCTGTGAAGTAAGTACTATTGTCCCCCTAACTTAACCAATGAGGAAACTAAAGCTTAGAGGATCCCACTGAGGCACTCAGCATGGGGAGGGTCACTCTAAGGAGACTTGGACCAGGAGTCGACGCTGCAGGGTGATGATCTGGGCTCAGCAAGTGGAAAAACCTGACGACATATAGAACTGCCCAGAGATATCATATGCTGCTTCAGGAGGACGGGTTCTCCACCCGTGGGGGCATTCACACAAAGGCTGAGAGCATTTGGGGAGGGATGTCACACAGAGACTCCAGCTGTGGGTGGGGGTTGATGAGATGACTGTAAGCTCTACTCTAACGGAGAGCTAAAGGCATTGCTCCACTTCTGAAGAAAACACAGAGGTCAAGCTACTCTCCCTTTCCAAACTTCCACTGGCACAGTCCACTCTGCTCACCGCTAAAAAGGGTAGCCTTTGTCCTATGCGTTCCTTTCCCCAGCCACAAGGGATTGGACCAGAGCTAGACAAATGACCCGAGGCAGCCAATCCACTGGCTGGCCAGAAACCCACCACATCTTCTCCCTCAAGACTTTGCTCGGAGAAGCACAGACACCTGTGAGGACATGAACTTGAATGGAAAGGCCACGTGGAGTGGCAGCTGGACCAGCACCACTGGGCCATACAGGACCCAGGAAGGTCCAGAGAAAGGCCTGCATTAAAAGGGGCGGGGGAGACTGCATATCCCAGTGAGAGATAGTGTTCCACTGACCCCATTCGTGATTGTCCTAGAATGGGCAGGAAATGTTAGTCATGTTATCATTACTGATTATGATAGCATGGGTGGGCCTCAGTTCCTGGCGACCAATAACTCCTGACCATGACTGCAGTCCATGTGTTCTCAGTATGACTAGGTAGCTCATGCAAGCGACTTATTTCAGCCCCCTGTAGGCTAGGAGCCTATTATGGCCAAAAGCATTCTGATGCAGCCCTCGAGGACAGGCAGCTGGGACACTGCAGGCACAGGGCAGCTCCCAGTGCGAAGCGGGCCATAGTCCACTTACCCCCGACCTCACACAGCACCGTGGCCAGAGCAGAGAAAAGAGAGGCGCAGCCGTTCAGGACAACCACCTGGGGGTGACACATCCACGGGACAAAAGTGAGTCTCTTTTAGGAGGGATCCAGGCCCTGCAGCCTCTGTCCTGCATGGCGCAGAGGGAGAGCCCGGTTGCAACTCGGCGCCTTTCAGGGCTCTGAAGGCCTCTCCTGACTAATGGCCCAGTTCATTCCTGTGGCTTATTTGTGGGGACACTGCTCTAAGTCAACTGAGCAAGGAAGAGGGAGCTGCCCACTCGGAGTCTTGTCCAAAGGTGTGGAGGCAAAGAGGGGCCACAGTGTTAGGGGCAGAAATAGAATAGTGGGGACTAGATATAATTAGAAGAAATATTAATCCTGCTCTGATAACTGTGATTGTTGCGTTCTGACTAGAGAGAGCACCTTCTACCCTGGCTGAGAGCTGTACGCCCCAGGACATGGGAGTTAACCTATATGATTCTACCCTGTCTCTGCTTAATTGGCTCAAGTAGTGACAGGCAGCTTGGACCCATTGGTTGTCGGTTTCAACAGGACAAAGTGGGGCAGAAAGCATACCCAAACTCTAAGGGAGGGGCGAAGCGAGGTGTTCTTAATTCCTCTTGGAAATAAAACAAAGTGAAAGGCAAACCCCACCCCCCACCCCCCAACGCTTATCCCTGGCCAGCCAAAAGCTGGGGGAGGGACAGAAGAGCAGGAAAGAGGAGGAGGGCTACTCACATTCTCCGGTTTAAGGGGTGCAGGGCTCCTGCAGTAGAAAGACAGGAACCTGGCCACTTCCTTCCGGAGGCTGCAGGTAAGACAGACAGAGGGGCAGTGCTTGTCAGAGGGCCTTCAACCCATAGTCCATCCCAAAGCTCTTCTGGCGAATCTTCAGGCAACGGCCATTACCCAGCAATGTTTCCCACAAGAGAATGTGATCAGTAAATATCTCCGCCCACCTCTCCCCTTCCACCCCAACACTATCCACAGGCATCGAAACTTTCATTCTCAGTAGTTCTAGGACAGCCAACCCCACCGAATCAGCACACCTCAGGGACATCATAAGCAACGCTCTATGTAGACCTAGGTGGTAATAATAATAATAATATTGTTGTTATAACAGTGACTATTATCATAGTTATTATTGCTAATATTTATTGAGCACTTACCTTATGCAGGTGTTATTTGCAACAACCTTATGATGTAACTATTATTATTATTATTATTCTCATTTTATAGACAAAAAAACTGAGACTTGAAAAAGTTGGGTCACTTGGCAGAGTCCACACTCAAGGCCATGGTCTGGGCCCACCATCCTAATTACTGTCAGAACATGTGCTTTGGAATCACTCTTGGAATCAAGTCCTGCTAAGTCACTATGCCCAGGACAGCATCTGGCCCCTAGTCAGTGCTCAGTAAGTACAAACTCTTACGAGTATTATTTACCATCTCTCACCCTACCAGTAGGAGAAATCCCCAGCCCGCTCCCCCTCAACTGATTCTGGCTCCTCTAAAGCTATTGAGAAAGTGGGGTTAAGGACCCCTCATATGAAGGCTCTCCCCATGCCTCAGAGCCAGAGAAACCAACCTAGGGAGCTCCTGAGCTGGGGTGGGACTGGCAGGAGGCACCAGGCCCCTGCAAATGCTCTAGGAGACCCCATGATCACCTGCCAGGTCTCCAGGACTAGGTAGCCCTCAGCCTAAGGCAGGCTTTCTCCACCTGCCACTATTGACATTTGGGGCCAGGTGATTCTTTGTTCTGAGGACTATCCTGGGCATTGTAGGAGGTTTAGCAACAACCCTTGCCTCTACCCAATAGCCAGTAGCACTCGCTTCGAAGTTATGACAACCACAAATGTCTGCAGACATTGACATGTGTCCCCTGGGGAGCAAACTGCCCTGGGGTGGAGAGCCCCTGGCCTCTGCAACTACTTACAACAGATGGCCCCTCCAGTCAGGGTACTGCAACAGAGACGGCTTCACCTGCAGCATGTCACTCTGACTCAGCTGGGGACAGAGAGGAAAGAGCAGGGCCAAGGGTCACACGTGCTCACAGTAGGGCCCTTCGGCACTACCACCTGCATCGCACAGCACCAGGGCCTCTACAGCCAAGGGCTTGGTCTCCTCGCCAAAGAAACTGTGAGAGGGGCTCACGGGGCCAGCATTCTCAGGCCCGATGTGCTAATGAGGAAACAGAGGCTAAAAAAGTCAGGTGCTTCAGCCAAGTCACGGAGCTAGCAAGTGTCAGAGCTGAGCATCTTAGGATGTTTGACTTCCAGTCGAGTGCTCTTTATTCAACACTGTCACCTGAAAAAACCCAGAGGGGTGGGTTTGCAGAGGCCGTGATGGGAGTCCGTGCTACCCAGCTGCTCCCTGGGGTGAAAGAAGAAGTCCTGGAATTGGGTCTTGATGCCAGCTTCTGGAGGGAGTCAGGCATTTCCAGTGGTTTGCTAGAGATGGCTGGCACCAGCTCAAGCTGTGTTAATAGACAGCCATTTCAAAAATTAAATTATACAAATTATATAAGTGAATTACATTAAAAACAAAGGTAGTAAATACGCAAACGATATTGTTCTTGATTATGTTACTACATTTTACTACCTTCTGTGCTCTTGAGGTTATTTCTATCTGTGTGTCTAGAAGAGAAAATACTATACAGGGTGGGACAAAAGAAGATTTACAGTTGTTCATATGGAAAATAATACGAAAATTAATAATTAATAATACAAGAATAAACTCTTGTTTTGTGTACTCACAACTGTAAACCTGCTTTTGCTCCCCCCTGTATATGAGTGCCACTGCACTTCTCTTCCCAATTTTGTGTGCAATAGTGTCATATCAGTAGCCTGAAACCGGTCCTGGTGGGAGTATTGACACTATGGGAATTGGCAAAAGCTACAAATCAGCACCACCCCTACCCCCCAGAGCCAGCTGATCATTACTAACTACACCCCCGCTACCCCCACTGAGTGTTTTCCCTGAGAGCAGGGACCCAGCCAACAGGAGGATCTGTGTGAGGGGCAGGACGTGAAGAGAAAAAGAAGCAGTTATCAAAGTAGGCAAAGTGACTCGCCCAAGACCACATAGAAAGTTGTCCCTGAGGCAGATCTAGAATCTAGACTCCTGACTCCCCGGCCAAGGCCATTGAGGTAAGCAGCAGGCTCTGGTGGGAGAAGCATTCTAGGGAGTCCAAGAGGAACCAGGCCTTCAGAGCTGGTGATGCCACCCAGACGTGCACCGGGACTCACCCGACTGGACAGAAGGTCAAAGCAGAGCTTGTTCTCACTGGTGCCCAAGTTGATGATGCCCTGGAGAGGAGAGGCACAGAGGGAGGGTAAACACGGCAGAGCGAGGCCAATGGAAGATCAAGGAAGCAGCACAGCGGAGCTCTCTGCAATCCCACCCTTCCAACCACCCCTGTTTGACTTGGTTCAATATATAGAACTGTTTACTATCTGCCCCCTCCCCCCGCCCCCCGAGACTATAAACTCCATGAAGGCAGAAACTTTATTTTTGTTCACTGCTATGCCCTCAGCATCTAGGACAGTGCCCAGTATCTGAAAGATGCTCAACAAATAAAGATTATTAAAGGTTCTTATTTGCGACAGCTCTGAAGGTATTACTGGGAATAACTTACAACAACCAGGACAAATAACATTCATAATAACAGCAGCTACCATTTCCTGAATGCTCCATGTGGAAACACTGTGCTGATAACTGCACACCTGATCTCATTTCATTGGGACTGTTCTATAGAACAGGTATCATTATCTCATTTTAGAGATGAACTAAAGCTCAAAGAGGTTAAGTAATTAGCTCAAGAACACACACCCCATAGTGAAACAGTTGTGGCCCAAACCCTAGTTCTGCCCCAGCTCTCAAGGCGAATAGTTGACGGTCTGGGGGTCAGAATCCACATTACAGCATTCCATGGTTCTCAAATTCCTCTCTCACAAATCAAGTTCCCCTTAATTACAACTGGGTCATTTTCTTCATATATATATGAAGATTGATTTATTGATTGATTTCAGAGAGGAAAAGAGAGATTGAAATATCAATGATAAGAGAGAATCGTTGATCGACTGCCTCCTGCACGCCCCACAATGGGGATCGAGCCCGCAACCTGGGCATATGGCCCAACTAGGAATCAACTGTGACCTCCTGGTTCATAGGTCGACGCTCAACCACTGAGCCATGCCAGCTGGGCCTAACTGGGCCATTTTCTAACCCAGGTAATAAACTGGGGCTTTTTACACTCTTCTTCAGAGTACTGGTGAAATATATTGTTTGTTCTTCCCAATTCTTACAGAATTTTAAATAAAACACATCTCCCCAATCTGTTGGGGGGTTTTGTAGGTGTAAATGGTACTGCAGCTATGGTTTTTCTAATCCTTATCTTTTAGAGAAATGTTCTGTAAATTTTACAGATAAAATGAGATACTGCTGGTATTTGATGAAAAATAATCTGAGGGTGGAATAGGTGAGTATATAGATGAAACAAAATTGGCGATAAATGGATAACTGTTGAAGCTGTGTGATGGATATTTGGGGGTTCGTTATGCTATTCTCTCTATGTGTTCTATATCAGAAGCCCACTTGGAGGTCAGAGGACCATAAGTCTAACCTGGCAAGAGCAAGCTAGATGCTGCCCTGTGGGTCAAGGTAGGGTATCCCCGCCCTGCAGTCCAGTGGGGAGGAGGGCTCACTCACATTGGGGTTCTTGTCCTCATCATACTCATCCATGTGGTAGGTCCTGTAGCCCTCCTCAGCCGAGTCCCAGAACCATTTACTGATTCTTCCTCTGGAGGACAGGTGGGAGCTGTCAGAGGAGAACGTGGTGGTGGGATCACCCACACCATAGTGCTCTGGCCGCTTGTGGTCTGGCTTTCTGGAGCGTTCTCTTTCCAAGCCATCCCCATAGTTAGTGTCCAGGCCCAGACAGGTGGTAGGTGCCCTGGACTCCTTCTTAGGGAGGGTAGCCATCTGCAAAGAGACAAAAGCACTCGATGCCTCACCAAGGACTTTCCACCGGAACAAGCCTCAACATGAACTGGGAGTCAAGGGGCCTCCTCCTCTCTCTCCCTGCCTCTCCTTTGATTTTATATACTAACCGCATCCTGTGTCCCTGACTAGTTTCAACCATGTGTGCAATCACTTCGAGTACATTCTGCAAAGTGTATCTTCCGTGCCAGGGGTCTGTCCTTGCCACTTTTATACAACTTTACTATATAGCTGCTTTAATTTGTTTTACTTCTGTGGGTTTTTCATTCCGCAGCCTAAGGGGTCACGCTGGACTTCTCCCATTTTTGCTGATCTCAATTTCAAAAAGCCAGGTTAAAATACTCTGAGGAAAAGCGCCTGGAGTCCAGGGGTGGGGCTGGGGGTAGGATGTGTCTGATGTAAACAGGGGTCAAGGGCCGGATGGGAGTTTGCTGGTCTGAAGCCGCCCTTGGATGGGTCCTTCGCAAGTGCAGGCACCTGGCAGAGCTCCAGGGGCCCCCTTCCCTCTCGGTGGTGGGAGGCATTGGCCGGGGTTGGGGGGACGCCAGCTCCTCCCCTTTCAAGGCAGTTTCCCCGCCTGCACAGTGGGGATAACCGCACCTACTTCGTGCGGTAGCAGTGCGGACAGAGTATGGGAGTTAATATAGATAAAGGCTTAAATCCTGGCCCATAGTCAAACTTCAGTCCAACATCACTCTTCGCTGATTTTCCCAGTCCTAACAGACAAGCCCCACGTGCCAAGTCATGGGGGACACACCAATGATGAGGGACCAGCCAGCAGCTCAGGGACTCTGGGGCTCCTGCAAACTGTGCTCCCCGAAGTCTCCTCTGGGTTCCTCCCCCTTTGGCTGCGCTCCCCAGCGCTCACCCCACCCCACCCCCAACCCTAGGGCGGGCCACCCGCCGCCCCCTGAGAGGGAGGCGGACACCCGCGGCTCTTTGGGGCGCCTCCCTTTGCCTCCTGGTTTAGCCCCCACAGTGTCCAGGCAACTGAAGCCTGCAATGCGCCAGGGAGAAGCCTTTCCGGAGTAAGGTGAGGGCATCCTTAAAACATCCTTCCCTACGAGTGTGTACCCTGGAGTTTGTAGTTGCTCCCTTTGGATCTAGGCAACATTTGTTGGAGTCTGCCACCGACCCTGCATGTTCCGGGGCTTTGGCGGAGAGTGACACCACCCAGGGCCCCGGCTTGCTCAGAGGCTTGAGTAGAAGTCTCCTTTCCCCGCGACAGGACAGCAGCAGGCTCCCTCCGTGCAAGCACAGCGGGAAGACCTGGCGGCCTTCTGACCACTCCATTTGTCTTCACGTTGGCCTTGCCGCTAATTAGCATCGTGACCTCGAGCAGCTCTCGTGGCTTTTTCAGTCCTCCGTGTTTTGTTCTGTAAAATAAGCCACTTCTCTCTGTTCACCTCATAGCATTCTATTTAATCCAGACCAGTAGTCTTATTGAAGGGCTGTTTCGTGCCAGATCTCTGCCAGTGCTGGGATGGACTGCTGAGTGCGATGGAAGCATACAGCAGGGAGATTTAATCCTACCCGCACAAACACATGCACTGGCCCCCACAGGGAGCCCGACACACACACTCACCCTACACACTTAGGAAGCGATGATTGGGTCCTGAAGGATAAGTCCTAGTTAGCTAGCTGGACAGTGGGGTGTTAGAGCAGGAAAAACATTTTGATAGGGCCTTGAAGGTTAGGGTCAGTGTAGAACATTCGTGAACAGTACAAATCCAGCACCTCTGGAACTGACCGGTGTGGCAGAAAGGCCAGAGATACAAGCAGGGGTGAAGACATGACTCTGACATAAACCATGGTAAGGATAGTGGAATTCTCACTAAAGGCAACAGGAAAAATACAACAACATGATACTTGACTGAGAGACTGAAGTCAGCTCTGCTAAGACTGAGAACAAAACAAGAATGTTCTCTCTCACCACTTTTCAACATTGTACTGGGGGTTCTAGGCAATGCAATTGGAACCTAGAAATAAATACCAAAAAGGACAAAGGGCAATGACCTTTATTAGCAACATAATTGTGTACATTGAAAATTCAAAGAAACCCCTCCCCACCCCAAAAAAACACACAAAACAATGAGAGCTAATAAGTGAATTTAACAAGATCACAGTATTGTTGGGTGATGGTTCTTTCTGGGTCTCTCACATTATTGCTTGTCTTGCAGGCAGGGGCCCTGACTGCCTTTGTTCTAGGCTATGTTTTCCAAAGATATTATACATACGATTTCTATATATAAAAGCCTAAGTGACCGTTGCAACCGAACGGATGACCGAACAGGCTGCGTGGGGCAACCAGGCTGGCAGGGGAGGCAGTTGGGGATGACCAGGCCAACAGTGGGGACAGTTAGGGGCGATCAGGCAGGCAGGCGAACAGTTAGGAACCAGTGGTCCCGGATTGTGAGAGGGATGCCCGACTGCTGGTTTAAGCCCAGATTGGAAAGGATGCAGGCTGGACTGAGGGGACACACCCCCCCTGCACAAATTTTGTGCACCAGGCCTCTAGTATGTATATACTTGTAGATGTGAATATGTGTATAGCAAACTGCCTTTGAGGATTGTATATTAGCTGCCATTTCAAAGATCCCAAGAGCATCTCTGGTTTCCATGTACCTTCTTTTCTGATTCCATGAGCTCCCTCATTCATCCAATGAATTCCTTTCTGTTTCTATTAGCCATCGTTGATTTCTAAAAAAACCATGTGTAGAGAAAAAAACTGGAAGAATCATGATTTGTTCTTATGCTTTTTGATTAAAAAACACAAAATCAGAAGATTGTCATCAAGGAACAATAACCACCAAACCTGGACCCAAACGAGAGGATGGTCACAAACTCAAGGGACTGACCAAAGCCATCTATTAGCGCTGAAAGCTCTTTGTCTATAAAATGAGGGTAGTCACTGCTCTGTCTCCTTCACAGAACCGGTGCTCTGACTGAAGCCCAAGCGAGCAAGGGCTTTGCAGAAACACTCATGGGTGGTGTTATTTGAACAGCCGAAGAGGCTAGAGAGAAAAATGGAAGACCCCAGGCTTGGCACCAGAGATTCATTTTAAAAGCTTTTTGAAAAGGCAAGAAGGGAAAGAGCTTCTATTTAAGCAGGAACATCTGCAATTATATCACCACCCTGCCATTTGGCAACTCGCGTGGAAGGTGGCTGTGATCTCGGTAGGGTTCTCTGGAACACTGCATCCAACCCTAGAAAACCTCCTTCAATGAGGGATCTTTTTATCCCTTGCTTCCTTGCCTGCCCCAGACTCTATTCTTCATGTATAACCTGCCTTGGAATTTAAAAATAAAAAGGACAAAAAATGAATAGTTCTCAAAGGTGATTATGAAGAGTGAGGAAGAAACAAAACAGGCCTGGAATTTAAGAGAATATGAACTTTATTAGGTTTCAAATACAAAAATAAACCCATCTAAATAGGGAGGCGGGGATGGACATTGAGTGAGTCAACATCGTCTTCAATTATGACATGCCTGAGGAATCGGACACCTACATCCACCGGGTGGCCCGTGCCGGTCGCTTTGGCACCAAAGGCCTGGCTATCACTTTTGTGTCTCATGACAGTGATGCCAAAATCCTCAATGATGTTCACGGTAGGTTTGAAGTCAATGTGGCGGAGCTTCCTGAAGAAACGGACATCTCCACATACATGGAGCAGAGCCGGTAACCACACACCTGACATCCCGGAGCCACCCTGCTTCCCACGTGCCGCTTCAAGTCCTCTTTCTACGCGACAGTGGGCTTTCTTTTTCTGTTCAAACACTGTACATTTGTGCAACAATAAATTTGTATTATGGAAAAATAAATAAATAAAATAGGGAGGCAGAAAGCTCCCTTTGTTTCTCTAGGATTTCCAACCCCAACCCCATAAAAACATTTTGCTCTCAAACAATGGCTAGCAAAGAGTAAAAAAAATCAAGTTCTCAAAAATGAGAGCTATCCAGGTTTACGAAGGAGGATGAGCTGGAGGATGAGCTGGAGGATGAGCTGGAGGATGAGCTGGAGGATGAGCTGGAGGATGGGGAGGACACACTTTCCACCAGTGCATCCTCCACTTGTTTCTCTATCCAATTCTGCTTCTTATCGGTTAGCGCCTCAGAGAACCGCTGCATGGCTTTAGGGTCCAAATGGAGATAGAAACAGAATTAGTGGGTTTTCAGGTGGGCCCTGGAAATCCCCAGGTCATGGTACACCATCACGGAGCCACTCTTCAGGAATGTGGAACTTCAGCCTACCCTTCTTTGGGATGCATTTCTAAGTCTACCCACGACATCCCTGATAGCTCATTTTTAGCTTCAATGACACAGCATGTGCTGCAAGACACTTTGTCTCATATCAAATCCTGTAACCTGGCGATAGACTTGGACTCAACGTTTCTATTGCCTCTAGTGTCCCTTCAAATAGTCTATTCTCCTCAGTGGCTCAAAAATTTTATAACATAAATGCTCTTTCTTCACTGCTCGATTCCCAGCAGGTAGAACAGAGTCCAGCATGTGGTGGAATGCAACACATCATTGTTCTGTTCTCATAACCTTCAGAGGAGAATTTGACTCCATAGAATAACATCCAGGGACATCCTATTTATCACACCTACTAACTCAAGCCCCACAGGGCAGAGGACCACTTCTGATTAGTGCCCTGCTTTGCAAAGGAACTTAATCAAAATATGAAAGTGCAAACCACCTATGGTATAGATGAGCTGTAGCTATAGCTACTCAAGGCCAATAAGGAGGGCTCAGCTATTGGATTACAGGAGTGGAAGGCACCAGGATTAGAATGTCAACACCACTCACCGACTTTCAGGCGGAGGGGCTTATCCGAAAAGGTGAGGCGGAACCAGCCAGGCTCCTTACACATGTAGGCCTTGCCAGGGGCCAATAGGAGCTTGTTGTCCAGGAAGCGGCGATAAAGGAGCTGCTCTTCCTCAAATGTGCATGGGTCCAGGTACTAGGGAAGGCAGAGGGACAGAGCTGAGCCCAAGACCTAGCAGGCAGGTCTGCCCAAGGACACCTGTTCTCATTTCCAGAGCTCACCTCTTTCAAGTTGACCCAGATATAGAGGCCAGAGCCATGACTAACAAAAGGGACCTTCATTGTCTTCAACTTGTTGGTGATGTACCTGTGAGCTTCCTGCATCCGGGAGCGATTAGTGGGCAGGTACACGTTGTCAATCCATTCTGAATGGTGACAGGGGAGAATGCTGTCACAGGTCCTGTGACACAGAACTGCCAAGAATTCTTTGCCACATGCTCCCTACCTGGACTTCCTGGCAGCTATTTCTGTCCAAGACTGACTCTGTACTATATTTGAGCTGATAGCATCCATATTCAAAACTCACCTCCTACCTACCTACAGCTGTGGAGGAGACACTGGGCTCCTCAGTAAACCTGTAGGAGTGTTCTGTTTGAGTTTACAGCTCTGACACTAAGAGTCAGGGCATCCTCCTATAATGGTTTGATGCTGCTGTTGTCAAATGAGCAGGAAGCAGGAACTCACAGCTCCCCATACCTCCTGCCTTACAGCCTCACACAGTGGACTTTGAGGTATTTGGCGATGATCTTAGCCCAGTTGTTCTCAGCATTGGCAGCACATAGAACCACCAGGGGAGCTTGTGAAAATCCTCATGGCCAGGTTATATCCCCAGATCACCTAAGTCAGAACTTTGGGGTGGAGCCCACACATTGGCATTTAAGCTCCCATGTAATTCCCAAATTGATAGCCATGTTCACAGGGCTGGGAACCTGGTTTCTGCCAAATATCAAAGGGCCTGGCACCATGTAGGGAAACAGGTAATTGGATTTCTCCTATCTACCCTTTTACTCACCCAAAGATGAAAGTTAAGTCATTTTCTCAACCAGATTATTTGGTTACTTTCATTTATTTAATTACTAGAGGCCCGGTGCATGAAATCCATGCATGGAGGGGGGTGTCCGTCAGCCCAGCCTGCACCCTCTTGCAATCCGGGACCGCCGGCTCCTAACTGCTTGCCTGCCTGCCTTCCTGACCACCCCTAACCTCTCTGCCTACCTGCCTGATCACCCCTAACCCCTCTGCTTGCCTGCCTCATCACCCTAACCCCTCTGCCTGCCTGCATCATCGCCCCTAGCCACTCTGCCTGCCTCATCACCCCTAACCGCTCACCTGCCTGCCTGGTAGCCCCTAACCAGTTGCCTGCCTGCCTGATCACACCAAACTGCTCACCTGCCTGCCTGATGCCCCTAACTGCCTCTGCCTCGCCTCCCGCCACTGTGGCTTCATCTGGAAGGACATCCATAAGGTCGTTCAGCTGTCTGGTCTAATTAGCATATTATGCTTTTATTATTACAGATATCCCAGTTTATTATAGATATCCCAGCTTTTAATTTAAATCTGCTAGACTGGCATCTGTTCTACAGGGAATTAAAGAAAGGGGCCCTTCTCTATGTTTGGGCCATGGCACTAAAGAGGGAAGTTCTCCCTGAAGCCAGCATTCACATCAGATCCAAGGGGCAGAAGAACCCAAGGGCCATAGATGTAGCCACAGCAACTTGCCCAAATGGCAGCGCTTCCTTGGCCACCTTGGCAGGTGAAGTTAGGTCATACTTGAGGAGTCAGGGCACTTATTTCTTTGTGATCTTTGCCTGAGCAAGCAGAGTATTGGAAAGGGGAAAGAGGCCTTGACTTAAGGACGGATTTCTGAAGTTCTCCCTGAAGTCTGCATATGATTGTCTATCCCCTTTCCAGGCAGAGCACCAGCTACCAGACAGCCAGAAATTAAAGCCCATCCTGGCTTTTAGACCAGCGCCTCCCGCTTCTGTCTACATCCTAGTGCCCCCTCTGAGCTGCATCCTGCCTTCCTTCAAACTTCCTGTCCTCCACCATGACACCTGAGACAGCGAACAGGATGTCAGGGGACTGAAGGCATGTCAGAGGCCCAAGCAGACCCAGGAATCCCCCGTGGCCCTGAGCACTGAGATGCCTGGATGGAGCTCAGTACCTCTGTCCTGGAGCAGCCGACACAGCTTGTGCTGGGTGATGCCAGAGATGCCGTGGAGGAAGCCAAAAGCGCCAACGGCAGAGACCACCTCCTTGTTGTGGGTGTACAGAGTGCCAAAACGGAAGCCAGAGATCCCAAAACTCTAGAGGAAGAGAGTAAGGGAGGGAATACCTTATGTTCTTGGCTCCCATTCCTTCCCAACCCAAGGATAGGCTGTTGGGACTCACCTTACTGGTGCCCCAGATCACATGGGTCCTGTTGGGGTCAGGCAAACTGGAGAGGAGACAGTACAATCAAGGTTACAGAGAAATGTTTGAGTGCTGAAGTCTTAAGGTCTGTGTGTGGGAATTGGGAACTGGCTTGAGGTCCACTACCCAGACCTTTTGTAGAGGTTTATCTTTATTTTAGACAGTGGTCTTTCTACCTTGCCCTCAAGTATCTCATATATAACATGGTATTTAGATCAAAGGTACTTAGGAGGAAAGATCATACTTTGTTTATTTCCACATTTAACTCAACTCCTGAAACTTAGCCAGGTAAATTTATGACACATGAAATCACTGTGCAAAAGCAGGAAGCTAATGCTCTTATTCCCACTCCAACTGAGACTAACTCACCTTTTCATGTTCAGAACACTGTGGAATGGGATGGACTCACGAAACTCAGACAGCATGGAAGTCTCATCAATAATCACATGTAGGTTGTGCCTGCAAGTTAGGCAGAAAAATGAAAACATCAAGGTTCTCTCTCGAATCTTAACTCACTTTCTGTTATGGTCAATTCTGGATACAGATCAGATCCTCCTATTGCCCCAGCAGCCCATCCACCAAAGATCAGGGTAAGGCAGAGGGGCTGGTGCACCAGAAAGGACCTTACACATGGCTAGGGAGTACTTGGAAGGCATAGAATACAAAAGACACACATGATAAAATCTTACTGAACCTTTCAATCCTCAAGCAGAGACCACTTCGTGGTGTTAAGTGGGTTAAGACTTATATGCACATCGTGTTTATTCTCCCATTGGCCCTCTGAGGCAGGACTGTTCTCTCCATTTCACAGATGAGAAAACTAGTTTCTGAGACAAAGTTAATACCTTCTATCGGCAGGTTTTGAAGCAGGGACTTGAACCCAGTTCTGTCAAATTCTAACCCAGGACTTGCAATGCTCTTCCTTTTATCCCCATGCTTCACCATTAATTGGGCTGGGTTAGTTATGAGGCTTATATAAGTGCCTCTCTTCTAGAGAATAGAAGACTATTTACTCCTAACAGGGCTATTTAGGGACTCCAGACATGTCAGACGTGAACATGTTCTTAGGAGTGGGACATAAAGTTCTGTGGGGATATGTCTTTATCTTCACCCCAAATCGTCCAACAGTCTCTCTTCCCTGGCACCTCAGGCCAAGTAGTTTGGGAAGTAGATGCTGGAAAAGCGCTCATGCTACAAGTGGCTGAGTAACAAAACTATAGGATGATTGTTACGTAGATGTCTGCACATGGAAAATACTAGAAAGAAATTGGGGGGAAAAAGATTGGTGGAAGCTGTAAGCATGTGGTTGCATTTTCCTTCGTTCCCATTTCAGTTAGTTGTACACCACTTTGCAGAGTACAATAAGCAGTAAGCATAGTTAGGGAAAATTATTTCTGGTTCTGACTTCTTGTCCATGACCGATGGCAATTTGTTTAATTTTAAGGGTTAAACCCCTACCTCTTGGCAAATTCCAGGTATTCCTTCAGTGAGTCCAAACTGTCAATGTCTCCCAGAGAATTATTGGGGTTGAAGAGAACAAGACCTCTGACCTTTTTCCCCTGAAAGAACCAAACATAACCCAATGAACTCAAATACTTCACATTCAGCCAATGTCAGTCAGAACACCCAATATAGGTCACATAACCAAGGTCTACATAGAACCCTGAAGCAACTACCATACTGCCCCCAGGGCAGAGCAGGAAGTAGCACTGGGGACTGCCACTGAGAAGGCTCAGGGCTCCCAGAGGGACATGCCCCTGGGACACTGCCTCTTCTGAAGAAGGAGCCCCCATGCTCTTGCTGAGGAGGTTGTAGCAGAGTCTCAGCACTAAACCCCCTTCAGGGCAGCAGTGCCCACCCTGACCTGTGGTCCTCTCCTTACCTTAAACTTAGCCTCCAGCAGGGCTTTCTCCAACTTGTCCACAATCAGCTGGAATGGCTGGGTGTCCGCCTCAGTGATCTGGAACACAAACACTGCCTGAGGAGCGCCCATCTGACTCCTAAGCTTTGATCCCTCATTCCCATAAACCATGAATAATCCTTGGCCTTCATACCCAGGGTACCAGTCCCACAGGCCCTCTAGTGCTGATTTGTCCATCCTCACCCCATCATCACTTACATGGCAGGAAGGCTAGCCCCACCCATAAACCTTGGAATGCACCCAGAACATTTCATTGCCAAGGTGGGCTGAGCAGGAAAAGGGCCCCATTCTGACCTTCCTCTGCAGGTGGACATGAATCAGCTCAACTTTTGAATACAGGCGGGCAGTTAATGTGAGGCCAGAATAGAAGGGGGTGGGGATCAGAAAGGCATCTGGAAGCACAGGGAGACAAGGCTGTCAGTCCAGGGTCTCTCGGTCAGACCCACCACACCCACCTGACCCCCAGACCAGCAGCAACTCTACCAACAGGGTAGCTTACTTGGGCAATCCCTGCTACTTGGGGAAATGCTTTGGGGCTCAGGCTCTGTAAAAGGTAGCCATTCTTATAAACAATATTTGGGGAACAAAACTCAAGTGTCCTTGCCTTGGGGCTACACTATAAAAGGAGACAAAGGAAGAACAGTGCTCTGAATGGCTCAGAAACCAAGGTGCAAATCAAGCCTACCTTGCTAGCATGGTGAGCACTGAACATTTACAACTTCTGGTCAGTTCCAGGGCAAACACCAGAGGCTGAGGCCCCTGCACACGGAGGGCTCTTTCTCTCCATGTGACTCATGTTATCTACATCTGGTGGTCTCAAGTATGCTTCTCCTCCCATCATTTGGCCTTATTGATGAACTAACCGAGGACCTACTGATTTGAATGAAACTGGCCACCTTGGTAACTCCCTTCCAAGCAGCCAAAGCTCATTAAAGTCTGAGACCCTTGCTCAGACATTGTTAAGAGGGACACTGAGAACAGATCTTTCAGTCTTATTTGATCTAGAACTCAATAGACATTGTTTTTGAGGAGGAGAAGGTGATAGAAATTCTATATAGTTTAAGCCAGTTTACCAGGGCTCTCTGTATTGGAATTGAGTCCCAAATCCCAGCTAATAATATAATGGGTTGATTCTCACCATCACCATTTCCAAGGGCATACCTCCTTGAGGACCCTCCCTTGATTTCCTTCCTCATTAAGTGGGGATGCAAATCCCTCACTCCTATAGAAACAGCAGGAAAATATAACCAATGTAGGAGAGTCCCGGCATTTTAGGGCAAGGGCCTTGAGTCAAGATGCTCTTCTTCTTCGAGGCCCAGTGCCTGTGTGCTGCTATTTCCCTGAGGGAAAGCAGAGCCCATCAACTTACCATCTGGATCACACAGCACCATGGTCAGGGTCAAGAAGACAGAGAGGGAGCTATTGAGAACAACCACCTGAAGAAGATGCACAGAAGGTAGAAGTAAAAACCCAATCTCCATGAATGATGGACTAGTCCAGGGGTGGGCAAACTTTTTGACTCGAGGGCCACAATGGGTTCTTAAACTGGACCGGAGGGCCGGAACAAAAGCATGGATGGAGTGTTTGTGTGAACTAATATAAATTCAAAGTAAACATCATTACATAAAAGGGTACGGTCTTTTTTCTTTTTAGTTTTATTCATTTCAAACGCACGGGCCGTAGTTTGCCCACGGCTGGGCTAGTCCCTCTGTCTCCCACCCACTCAGTAGGGACAGGGACCAGGAGCCTCCAAAGTTGGAATCCATTGGCTTTTATTCCATCTTGGCCCTGAAGGCCTCTGCTGGTTCTCCCTGTACCCTTTAGAAAAGGCAGGCACCTTAAGAATACATCTCTCCACTTGGAGATAAGTGAGGCTGGGAAACTGACTCACATTTTCTGGAACAAGCAGGTCAGGTGCCTTGCAGTAGTAGGTCAGGAACCGGGCTACTTCTTCCCTCAGGCTGTAGACAGACCCAGAGAGACCTTGTGGTTTCAGGCCCAGGAGCCCTTTCATATTCAGTATCTAGACTTCAGTCTTTTCCAAAGAGCAAGGCGTCTAATCTCATGTTACAGGGTTACTGACAAAGACTATTGATTCCCGAGGTGACAGGCAATTAGTGTGAGAGCTTGGGCTATTTTTATTATACCAGGCTGCCTCCTAAATTGTGTTCTAGACATTTTCTAGAGGTTTCACTGAAAGAAACAGAGGTAGCCAACCAAGAACCTGATACTTTGAGTTCTTCCCTGCCTGAGAACTGGTGCCTGTGGACTAGGAGGCCATGGATCTGGAAGTTACTTACAATGCATGTCCTCTCCAATCAGGATATTGCAGAAGGTCATCATCAATGTAGTTCATGTCACTCCGACTCAACTGTTGACAAATAAAGCATGAGGACAGCCAGACAAGGGAAGCCCCACAGTCCCCACAGTCTTCATCTTACTCCTAGGATGCAGGTGGGCATTTGCCCTACAACACAGGGCCTCCCAGAGGGCAATGGGGACACATGCTGCATGCTCCTCAAAGAAGAGAGGCCTTGACCTTATCAGATCACACAAATGGATAACTTACTGAGAACTGCTGAATTAACAGCCTCCCCAACCATACACTTGGGCCAGGGGCTCCCTTGTCATTCTACCCAAAATATACACATCCAAAGAATAGCTTTGAACAATCAGAAAATCCAGGAGATGACACATGCTATTCTAGAAGCCGTTTCCTCACTCCCTTTCCCAATCGCCTAAGTCCCACTCCTATAGCTACCACATGCTAGGGGGACTGGGCCTGAATATGGGCCCCAGCAAGCCCGGAACTTGGCTTACCCTTTCAGTCAGCAGATCAATGCAGAGCTTGTTCTCACTGAGGCCAAGGTTAATGAAGCCCTGCAGATGAAAGGAATCTGAGATCAGTCCTCCTGCCCAGCCTAGATGAACCCTTTAAACATGTCAAAAAGTACTCTTCCCGGATGATTTCCAAAGGGAAGAGCTCACTGTCCCATGAGGCAATTCACAGCCCCCAAATCATACAGCTTACAATATCCCCCTTTAGAGCCATAGAGATAGTTACATACCAGTGACCAGTCACTTGGTTCTTATTGACTAGAATCAATAGGCTATCATTAGGCTAAGTGCTTCCTGTTCATTGTCTTCATTCTCACAACTCCTAAGAAAAGGGTTCTATAATGATTCCTGCTTTAAAGGGAGTGAAGCTAAGAAAGGACAAGTAAACTTTCTCAGGGAAAGAAACCAGAGAGAAAGAGGGGAACCCTTCACCTTTCTTAGGCATGTCACTATTTGTGCCCATTCCCTTATCTATAAGGATCAATACCATCTACCTTATAGGGCCAGGAAGAGTAAGCAAGAGAGCACAGTGCTTGGCACAGGACTCAGTAAATCCTAGTGACTTTGACTCTCTAGTTTACCCTTGCCATATGACCTTGGTGATGGACAGACTCTACCTGCCTGCCCAGGATCCATAAGTACCACATACCCATCTCTTGTTATTCCCATTTCCATGTGCAGGCCTTTCAAGTTATTACAGGAGCTATAGTTCTTCAGAGTCCCACGGGGTATCTGACTCACTTGGCCCCCAGAAAAGCACATGGCCACTGAACACATGTCACTCAGCTAGAAGCAGAGAGATGATATACTCGTGCTGTACTCCACCCTTTGGCTGGAGAGCTGTTGTGAACATCCCTTGCTGAAAAAACTTTCATTGACTCCCTGTCACCCTTAGGATAATATCCTACCCCTGTCCTACCCCTGTCCACACTTCTTGTCACAGCCCTCATTGCCCCTACTCTATCCAGATGGGCCTCCTTTTCCATTCACTCCAAGCCCTTTCCACCTAAAGCTTCACACATGTTGATGAAGGACCCCAAAGGTCCCCACATCCCACTAACTCTGGCTGATTCAGTCTTTAAGACACCTTCCCAGACCACCCAAACCTGGTATCCCCTTAGTGCTCTTTGAAACATCATTAATCTTTAAATCCTCATGGCTGATGACTATCATTTCTAGACTGGGTCCCATGGGAACAGGCCCACTTCTACTGTGATCACAGTGACTCCTAGAAGGTAAGAGCAGGGATTAGGGAAAGCAGAAGGGAAGAAGGGAACCCAGTCTCAGCCCTTCACCTTTCTTGGGCATGTCACTCTATTTTGAGCCCATCCCCTTATCCATAAAGAGAAAATACCACCTACTTCATAAGGCCGGGAAGAGTAAGCGAGAGAGCACAGTACTTGGCACAGGACTCAGTAAATCCTAGTAACTGGGCCTCTCTAGTGTGCCCTTCCCACCACCCAATTCTCACCGAGGTGTTCTTGTCCTCATGGTATTTGTCTCCTTGGTAGGCTATGAAGTCCTGGAGGTTGGACTTGTATAAGGCAGAGAGGTCAATCCCACGGTTGGATAGGTCACAGCTGATGAATGCAGTTTCCGAATCACTCAGTTGGTGACTTAGCTGGTCAGGCTCCCTGGATGACTGGGCCTGCTGACCACCTCCAGCACCACCCCTTGAGTCCAGGGAAAGGCGAGGCAGTCGGAGCTCCAGGCTACTTGAGGCTCCGGAGTGTAAGAGGTTGACCACCTCGCACATTAAATGGACGAGGATGGCTTCCTGGTCCCTGATGTTCTGGCTGTGCTGTTGCTCCTCCTGCTCCAGGTCCTCCTGCTGGTGCCTGCTCTCCAGCTGCAGGATGTACTCATTTATGATCTTACGCAGACGCTGGATCAATTTCATCACCCGGGGGTGGGGCCTGTGATGGGTGTCTGATTGGTGACTCACATTCTGGCATTTAGTTTTGGCCTTAGGAGGCTGGCCTGAACCTGCAGAGAAAGAAGGAAACCATGTACTGCAGCAACATAGACTCTCCTGACCTTCAGGTGCAGGCCTGCAAGGGGAATTCTAGCATGTATTTAAAATAATATATTGTTCCAATACTATTTACCCTGTGCTAGAGGAAAGGAAAAGAATCCACATCCTATATAATAAAAGGCTAATATGCAAATTGTCCACTCGGGAGTTCGACCGCTCGCTATGATGTGCGCTGACCACCAGGGGGCGGCACAGAGTGAAAGAAAGCCATGGTCAGCAGGCCTAGGGAACCTACCCATGCATAAATTCCATGAATGGGCCTCTAGTTTTACTATAAAAAGTGACATCAAATTTAATGAAGTGTAAAGGAAGAACTATGAATGAATCTCACATGTGATTAGATTATCAATACTTAAAAGCTGAATAGCACTTAAAACAAATCCAACAGCGTGATAAGATAACCTTGTGGGGTTAACTGAGAATGGAAGGGTAGTTCAATTCTACATTTATATTAACTTCATTAAAAAGTCCTAAAAGATAAAAATCACTTCACCTATAGATGCTAAAAAGACATTTGAGAAAATTAGACACCGATTCTTGACTTAGAAAACTTATTAAGATGAATGGATACCTCTTTAACATAAGACAGTCTCAGCCAAAACACCAGCTTCCTACTTAATTGGGAAAATCTGAAGTTTGAACTTCTAAATGAATTATTAGGCCATTCATTCATTGTCAATGTTCAAAATCGTACATTGCACCAGAAGTCTCAGCCAAGAACATTAGGCAAGGAAATAAATCAGGGTTAGAGATTGGGAATTTGGTTGTTGTTTTCTGCAGATTGTTACTGTCTTCTTGGAAGACAGAATTAACAGATGATTTAGAACAGTGGTTCTCAACCTTGGCTGCACATTAGAATCACCTGGGAATCTTTTTAAAATCCTGATTCCTGGGCCCCATTCTCCGGAAATTCTGTTTCTTTGTTATGGGCTGGAGCTACAACATTAGTAACAAAGAAACAGAATTTCTGGAGGATGGGGCCCAGAATCAGGATTTTAAAAAGATTCCCAGGTGATTCTAATGTGCAGCCAAGGTTGAGAACCACTGATTTAGAAGATAAACTGGTATAGTTATAGGCTTGGGGCCCACATCATGTTTCTGCAATTACAGTTTTATTGTAACGTAGCTACACCTATGTGGCACGTATATGCCAGACAGAGTTTAATAGTAAATGCTAGATCCCCATTTTCAATCTGGATCATTTACCTAATTGGTGAGCCTAATGACTGCCCAGCTAACGGCAGCTTTGTTTTCATTTAGTCCTAAATGTTGGGAGGTCAGAATTCTCCCCAACTTTCAGATAGAGCAATTAAGGACATAATTTATTACAGTCCTTTGAATTTAACGAGGTCGCCCAATATATCCAGGATGAGAATGAATGGTGTAGGTTACTTTGGGGGACACGGAACCCTCTGAAAACACATTATCATCAATGGCAGGCTCTGGTCTAAGGTCTTTGTACACACACGTGATTGACTCTATGAGGAGAGCACCTCCATTAGCCTCACTTTACAGATGAGAAACCTGAGGCCCAAAAGCAGGAGGTAACACAAGTTTGGGTCAGGGGAGCTTTAAAACGAAGTCCACTACCCTCAGACCCCACCGCCCTCTTAAAAATCCCTCCTCAAGGCTTCTTTCTGGAAGGATGCACATGAATTCAAGGCTTGGCATTCACTCCTTGGGATGCATAAGCCCAATAAGTCCATCGCTGCCCAACCCCACTGGCCGGAGGGGGTCCAAGAAGCCCCAGGCAGTGTCTGGTCCAAAGCCACCCTCTCGCTCCACATCCCACGACTCTCCCAACCCTGCCACCAAGACTTACGTGGGTCTCTGTTTCCACTCATCTCTTCTTTGGTCCCAAATCCTTACGCACGAAGAAATCAACCTTGACGACCAGGGCTCAGGCACCGCTCCAGGGTCCTCCTCCTCTCACTAAGCTTGGTTCCTGTGTTGGGCCAGCAGCTCTGCTTTTAAGAAGAACGAGCTATTCAGGGCAACAATGAGATCCACCTTTTCCCTTTCGAGGGGATCTCTCCAGGAGCTCCCTATCACCTAAAATGGCCTTCCTTGGCCCCATTACAGAGAAAGGGTCTGCAGTGCCCACACCTGAGGTCACCCCACCTTGGAGCTGTGGTTCTCAAACTTTGGTGGCATTGGCACCACCTGGAGAGCTAAGGAGACCCTACAGGCAGTTGGAGGTAGGCCAGGGCCAGGGCCAGGGAAGTATCTCAAGATCACAGGTGCTTTGAATACCTACCAACCTTTGAGAACCACTGGACCAAGTGAATCTCACTGAAATCACAAATGAGCTACTAACTTTCTCTGTCTCTGAAAAGACTGAGACTGAGAGCAATCTGAAATGGTGAGCCTAGGGCAGAGGGACAACTTGACAAGGAGGCACTGGAGTGATCGCCAGGAGGGTCGGTCCCAACCCCCAGCCCTACTGGCTCTGTGTGCTTGGCAAACCTCCCCAGCCTTGCAGGTCCTCAGTCTCTCCTTGTGAGATGGGGGAGGCCATGACATCCAGCTCACAGAGGGTGCTGTGAAGGCTAAATGGGAGGACATGCCAAAATGACAGGTAGGACTGCCCCATGACTGAGTCTGTGTCACCCTGGTCAGCTCCTGTCCTTCCTTCCCTGGAGCCTGGCAAAGAGAAGCAAGACCCAAAGCAGCCTGTGGTCTGAAAATACCCTGCCTTGTGACTGTTCTCCAACTTCAGTGGGTGCTTGTTTAACAGGCAGGTGCCTGGGCTCCACTCAGGGTCTGAGTCAGGTCATCATTGGGCCCAGGAGGCTGCACTGTGAAACTGCCTCCAGTATAGAGCAGGCTAGGCGGGCAGGGCTCAGGCCTCTGCTCTAGCTGGGCTGCAACGCCCGTACTGCTCTGCTCCCAGACACCTGCCTGGCTCACTCCCTCTCCTCCTTCAAGTCTTTCCTCAAATCACCTTCTCTGACCACCCAGGTAATTCCACACGCTGCTCCACCTCCCACAGCAGTTCCCCCCGCCCATTCTACCTTTCCTTTTTTTTTTTTTTTTAGCCTTTTCCCCTTCAAACGTACCGCAACTTTACTTATTTATTATGTTACAGTTTCTTTTCAGTTCCCCCTTCTAAACTCCATGAGAGCAAGGGTCTCAGATGGTTTCGTTTATTGCTGTTTTCTCAAATGCGAAGAACCATATTGGCTATTGGGGAGCTCAGTAACATTTACAAATGAACAAATGAATGAGTGGATGAATGATACTATAATGCGATTATCCGAAGTCTGGGTCCCCTTCTGGACTACAGGTTTCTCAGGTTCTGCCATTTTTCCAAGGGGTTTTGGTTAGGGTTTGTTGATGATTATTGGTAACTAACCAATTAGTGAGGGATGACGGGAATGGAGGAATTGATCAGTCGTAGCTCCAGGTGAATGTTGATGGTTGAAAGAAGATTTGCCCAGAGGAAAACCCTCATGTCCCTCAACCTCCTGCATTTCCACCACTCCCTCAGCTGATGCTCTCTCCTAGCAGTGGCCCCCCTCCCAGCACAGCGCTGTCCCGTGGATTTGCCAAAAGGGGTCGCTGAATCCTAACTTTCCTTCCTGGCTCAGAAAACTCAGGGCAGCTACAGCTCAGGACTCAGAAGCCAGGGTGAGAGTGGAAGGGGAGGCCTGGGAAGGCCCAGAACCCTCCTAGAGCCGCCAGTGTGTCTTCTGCAAGTACCATGTCCAATAAAGTCCTGGCACCTGGCTGGGCTCAGGCAATACAATCCCGTTCTAACTCAACTCAGATGCAAACCCTGGACTCTCCTTAAAGGTTCTAAGCTGCTAGTTGCCCACCTGCATGTGCTCTGACCGTGGCACTCATACCTAACTAGATTGCAAAGACCTCACAGAGAGAGAACACCTGTGTGCTTGTACCTCTCTTTAGCCTTAGGGCCTGAGCATAAAGTAGGTGTCAAGTACTGTAGCTGCTTTTGGTTTCTTTGTTTGCGTCTGACATGGGGAAACAGGTGATTGAAAATGGACAGCATATATAAATAAATGGAGTTGGATAAGTTCTGTGAAGAAAACTCATGCTGAGTAAGGGATTGAGACCAAGAGAGAAGGCTATAGAGATAGGGTAGTTAGAAAAAAGACCCCCAGGAAGGGAAGGAGCAAAGCATGTGGACCTCTGGGAATAGTGTTCCAGGCAAAGCACAGCAAGTGCAAAGGCCCTGAGGTGGCAGCATGTATTTGCTGTATTTGAGGAAAGGACCACACAAGGTGTGATGAAGCTTGATAAGGACTTTGGCTTTTATCCTGAGCATGATGGGAAGACAGGACAGGTCTTCCAGAGCTGCTACCTGAGTGATTAACTGCCTTGTGGGGCTGGCTGGGGTTCACAAGCCAGTCAGGATGCCCCGGGCAATGGGAGAGGTGTTTCTGGCTTGGACTCACTTGTTATTGCTACAATAGATCCCCGCTGCTCCTAGAAAGCCCAAGGTCTTCATCTGAAGTCTGTGGAGCTGCAGGATAACATTCTCAACCAGGGCCACATAGAGTCACCTGGGAAGCCCCTCCACCAATGCCAAGTTCCACCTCTGCCCCACTGACGCAGGGGATGGGCATCACTCATTAAGAACCACAGTTTCGCCAAAGCCGGTTTGGCTCAGTGGATAGAGCGTCGGCCTGCGGACTGAAGGGTCCCAGGTTCGATTCCGGTCAAGGGCATGTACCTGGGTTGCGGGCACATCCCCAGTGGGAGATGTGCAGGAGGCAGCTGGTCGATGTTTCTCTCTCATCGATGTTTCTAACTCTCTATCTCTCTCCCTTCCTCTCTGTAAAAAATCAATAAAATATATTTAAAAAAAAAAAAAAAGAACCACAGTTTCAAGGGCTTGTGGATGGACCTCTCATCCCACCCCATATTCTATCTGCATGTACATTTGGTGTAAAAGGGATGAGAAGATCCATGGCTTTTATCAGATGTCCCCAAAGATCCAGAGTTATATTCTAAGGTAGAGGGGTTCTTCCAGGGAAAACTCGATTAGAGCCCACCACCTGGGGTGCTCACTGCTCCCTTCATCCTACACCCCCCCCCCCCCCGCCACTTCCTTTGCTTTGGCTCCTCCATCTCTTCCCTCTGCCTGCATTTCTTTTGATGGAGCATCTCCTTCCTTCCAGCACTGAGTCCGCTGCCAGCCTTCAGTACCTCTTCAAATATGGGTAACCCGTCCTCCTTCCAGACCCGAGGCTCCGTTCAGTCAGCCTTTTCTGGGCTCTTTCTGTTTGCTTTCCCCAGGGTCTTCCTGCTTCTTCTGCCCCAGAGGAGCTGGTTCCAACCACCCTGTCCTCCCACCCAGGACTCAGTATAGTGCTTAGGACACGAAGAGAAGGTTTGGTTGTTCTTTTATTAAATATATTTTTATTGATTTCAGAGAGGAAGGGAGAGGGAGAGAGAGAAACATCAATGATGAGAATCATCAATCGGCACCCCCCACACTGGGGATTGAGCCCACAACCTGGGCATGTGACCTGACCGGGCATGTGATCTCCTGGTTCATAGGTTGATGCTTAACCACTGAGCCACACTGACTGGGCAGGAAGAAAAGGGTTTTGTTTCATTTCCACGGACACTACCTCTGCTTGTCACCCACACTCAGAGCCCAGGAGCCCCTTCAAGAGCCCTGGTCCTGGGATAAAGGCCAGGCGACCTGGGCCTGCGTGTGCTGGGGAGAACGTGCAGGAGACGGCAGCAGGGGTGCCTGGGGCCTGGCTCCCTGAGGACAGCACTGTCTGGCTTTGGCGGGCACTGAGCTCATCTGATGGCGATGGTCCCGAGAAGTTTCTCTTTCTGTGTGGGGTGTGGGGTGGGCAGCGTGCTCTGTATGGAGCTGTTGTCAAGCACCTGAGGTTCAAGGCACAGTTTAAGGCCCATCTCAGCCACTTACAAACCGTGCGGGCCCTTCCGCCTCCTCCTGCTCCTGCCCGCTATTCTTCCCAGCTGTTTCCTCAAATAGGTGGAGGTTAATTCACCTAGAACAGTGGTTCTCAACCTTGGCTGCACATAGAATCACCTGGGAATCTTTTTAAAATCCTGATTTCTGGGCCTCATCCTCCGGAAATTCTGTTTCTTTGTTACTAATGTTGTGGCCCCACCCCATAACAAAGAAACAGAATTTCCGGAGGATGGGGCCCAGGAGTTAGGATTTTAAAAAGATTCCCAGGTGATTCTAATGTGCAGCCAAGGTTGAGAACCACTGACCTAGAAGGAGGAGCCTGGTGGGCACAGGTGTGAGACATTTCAGTGTCTGCTTGTCTGAGGACATGAACTGCCAGTGAGAAAGCCCAGGTGCGAACCCATGGAGCCCCTGCCTGATGCTGCCTTGGTTTCTCTCCAACATCTTAACTCTCAGGAAAAGCAGGCATCTCCCAAGGTGGCCACCACCCAGTCCTCAGAGTCGCCAAGGCCACAGAGAAGGAAGCTGCAAGGACAAGTAAACAAGGGGCAGGAACCCCCACAGACACACGGGGGGAGCCAGGCAGACACCTGGCTCTTCAGGAACAGACAGGGCCCAGGAGCCTCCAGACAGGAGTGGGGTGGGTGGGGGTGGCACGCTAACAGTGGTTTTCTTCTTCTCTGCCCAAGTCCTTTCCACACAGTCTCACACTGAATCCTCCCAAATGCCCACACGGCCAGTATTACAATCCCCACTAAAGCCAAGGGTTGGTCTCCTCATCAAAGAAGCTGTGAGAGAGACTCACGGGGACAGTATTCTCATGCCTGTTTTGCTGATGAGGAAGCTGAGGTTAAAAAAGTGAGGTGACTCAGCCAAGGCCACAGAGCTAGCTGAGAAAAAGTGTCTGACTTCTAGTCGAGTGCT